ACACCAAATATGATATACTAGCAAGAGTTTTATGTGCTATTCTCGTAATTCCACACAGTAATCTGAGTGCGAGAGAGTCCTTCAGTGTTGTGAAAAACAAAACTATGTTTCGTTCTTCAATTTCACCAAAAACTCTAGAAACTTTTAATTCCTGAATGGTTATAGGAACTATTGTTATGACAGGAAATTTTCCCAAAGAATTTTTGGCTAAAGCCAAAAATGCACTCTAAATTCATTGCAAATTTTTTGTGTAACATAGTTCTTGTTTTATGTTTCCTAATAAATTTTTTAGTACTACTTAATTGAGATTTACTAATAAGTGCAATTTTCCTTTTTTCATTTGTATAAATTGTTATTTTTTTAATATCAAAGCATGATATTAATTCTTTGTGTTCTTCTGAATTTTGGAGAAATCTTCTGAATTTTTATCTTTAGAGGTTGACAGGTATGCACCTAATTTATTGAAAATCCCCAAATTTATCTAAAAAAGTGTATGGATATCATCTAAAATTGTTTTCACTATTGATGAAACTGGTGTTTTCTTTCATTTCGTGCGTTCAAAATGTATTGCTTTTAAAGATGGTCAGAGTCATTTGCTTTGCTATTTTTTACTCTGGCGAGTTACTAATAAAATGGAAAGCAAGATCTGTACTCATAAAAATATCGTAGAAAACAAGCTGTTTTAAAAATGAGTATGGTATGTAGTGAATTAAAAAAAAAAGGTGGGGGTGAATGTTTTTGTATATATATATGTATCTTCAGAATGGCTCAAAAAGTCATTAAGGTTGTAAAGTATTTCTCCCACTTTCCTAGCGTCCTTCGTGGTCTAGTGGTTCTGCACGCTGGGTCGGTATTCCAGAGGTCCGTGGTTCGATTCCCTGCAAAGGCGGCTGCTAATTTTTCATCTTTTCTGCTTCCAAATAATCTAATGACTCTGCAGTAGCGCCCGAACTAAACGACTTGTGGATGATGATTCTCCACACCCAGGAATTGGCGACTAGGTCCCCTAAAACCCTAGTCGCCCTTTAACTCTTTCGCATCAAGAGACGACCAAATCTGTTTTCATCAAACATCAAAAACGCCCATGTTTACGAATTTGTCTTGGAATAGTTTTCCTTTCCCACTGCCTGGTAGATAGCTACAGCATTAACAATAACCTACTTAAGTGAAATGACTGTTTCTCTCTTGGGGGATTTCAGCGGTTTCATCCATTGTGTGCAGGTTCACCCTAGAGCCGGATTACACATGCGAACGTTAATGGCTTTCCGTATGTCTCCTTTAGTTGCTTCAAAAGAATGATTGACATGTCTCTTAACAACTCACGAAACCAATGAGCCATACACTAACGTGGAAGAGGAAAGCACTAGGTGGAAAATAAATGAGGCATTGCGGCGGTTTGCCGTTGCCTGAATGAACGGGCATTACGGGCGACTTCGATGCGAAAGAGTTAAAAAGGGAATTATACACTGACTACCAATAAGTATTTGGACACCTGTGATTGAAACGAAAAACTAACTTTATTCAAAATCAATAGTAGGTAGAGCCTCCACGAGAGGTAATTACAGCGTGGACTCTCCGGGGCATACTTTCCACAAGTCTTTGTATGACAGCTAGTGGTATTTTCTTCCACTCGGCTTGGAGAAGACATAGAAGTTCCTTCACCGATTTTGCACGGATAGTGCACCCCTCAATTCGGCGATGCAACTCGTCCCAGAGGTTCTTGATAGGGTTCACGTCTGAACTCTGGGCAGGCCGTCGATTCGATGAACTCCATTGGCACCATACCAAGCCTTGGTTAACGTCGAAACATGACAACTGGCATTGTCGTCCTGAAAGTAACAGGGGTTCAATCCGTAAAACTGCCACAACGTAGGAAGCACATTGTCATCCAAAACAGTGCAGTAGGCATCGGAGTTGAGCTTACCATGAATGGGGACCAAGGGTCCCAGCCCATACCAGCAGAAACACCCCAGACCATAATTCCACCTCCACCGAACTTGTCTGTTGCCACGATGCATTCTCTCAGGTAGAAGACCCAGACCCTGCCATGCGAACGAAACGGTAGGGTGAACCTTTGATTTTTTCACTCCATATAAATACAGCGATAAAACCGGGAAATTATTTGTATGCATCATTCTAAATTATCTCATTTATATACTTTTCTGAAGAGGTACAGCGATAAAACCGTGGAAAATTATTTGTATGCATATCATTCTAAATTAAAATGTAGATTATACAACTTTCTCATTTATATACCTTTTCTGAAAGAGGTATTAATCACATTTTACAGTATTTTCTTTTTTAATTCAGAATGCAGTTTTCAAAGGCAAATAAAAACAAAGGGGTTTTCATCCGCAGAGAACCCGTTGGCGCCGTTCCATTTTTACTCGCCAAGCTCGCGTTTCATCAACGCTTGAGGCGAGCCGTAAACGTGATACTTTGTAAACGTGATTTTTAGTGCATGTAAATTCTAGTTAGCAGACTAAACAATATATTAAGCATATGGTAGTAAAAATTCACAGATAATAAGCATGTAGATGTAAAACTAACAGGTTAAACGTGATATACGGAAATAAATTGGTATTAAATTTAAACAGAAATTAATTATTAAATTATTAACTTTTGTTATGAATTTTGCTGATTATGATACTTCTCATTTTAACCTATGCCATTTGACATAAAATCAACCTGCTACTTACTAAACCGCTAGCCTGACCAAGTATGTGACATTATGAGACAAAAAAAAAGTTACATAAAGTTAGTAAAATGTAAATGTCACTTCTTTCAAATATGCCCAACTATTATAAGTGTAAAATATTTAATGCTACTTGATCAATTACTTAAAGTTTATTTCATTTTCAAACTTATTAATAATTATGTTAATTCATGTTTAGTAATAATACATACTACTTATGGATCTATTTTATTTTTAGGATGGTATTACAAATGTGAAATGCAGGCATCGCTAATATTTTTAATTGAATTTATTCAGTTCGCGTTTACTCATAGGTCCTGAATTTTTTTTCATTAATGGTCCTTAATTTCTGTGTGCAGAAATGTGTATGAACTCTGATTAACAGTTTTCAGTATTTTTTTTTTTTTTTTTTTTTTTTTTTTTATGTTACTTGCATGCAGGTTAAAGCAATTTACATTGAAACAAATACCCATCCTTTTCATAATTTATTTCACAATACTAATAACCTTCAACAGTAATCAAATTTTCTTCAGTAGCATTGTTAATAAAACTTGAACATTACACATTTCATTACTTTTCAAGAGTCATTTGAACTATATTCCTTACACCAGCAGTGGTTTGCTAATTTTGATGACCATGGGAATACATCAAACTATTCTGTCACAGATAATCAGTAATAAATAGTATTTATTATTAAAATTTAATAATCTATTTATGTCACACCTGCCATCCTCTGAAAGGTTATTGTAAGAAAAGCATTAACAATATATTGTTACAATTTTACGCCATAAAAATTGATTTATTATCATAGTTTTAGGTGAGAATAAACAATAATAAAAATAAAAGCATTACTTAATTATTTAAAACGCACATTTTTGCGGAGTACGAAAACGAATTATTTGAGCGTTTCGAACCTCATGGTTCTGCGTGCGTACAGCTGTTAATAATTAAGAACACAACGTGAACAGCCGTGTTACAAATTAGCATTCACCCCTCCCGCTTTATTTTCTTCCTTTCATCCCGAACCGAGAACCGGGATCTACGAAAAATATTTCTATCTATTCGTTGTTAAAAAATTAAGAAAAAAAAGTAATAAATAAAAGAAGAATAATAGAAATCTGCAAATGCGAAGAACCACAGTGATAACGAAACAAAATGGACGCAAGATGAATGGTTGCAACAAGCGAATAGGTTGAATCCGCTGGGTTACCAGATTTTAACTATTATCGCCAAATTTGGCAATGTTTACATTCACCGGGTTCTCTCCGGAAGTGCTTCCAAACAAAGTATTATTTTGAAATAAATACTACTCAAATAAATGAAATCAATTTTAAAGAAAAATGCTAAAGTACAAAATACTAATGAATAAATAAACAATTTTTAAATAACTAATTCAACTGTGCTACTTAAATAATTAAAATGAAATTCTAAAAAGCAAAAAATGTCTAAAAGGAACAACTGTGATTAAAAAATATAATACTTTTTTCTGCTTGTGCAGAATGAAAGTGAAATAAGTCGCCAAGAACTGAGAAGTTCACCAAGTGGCACGAAGCCAAAAAAAGTTTAAGTAATGTAAATTTCAAATTACTGATTAAATTCTACCAAATATTTACTAAATTTAGTTTTAACTCAGAATTTGAGTTGTAAAATCAAAATGTGAAACAAAATTGGCATGTCATTTCAGGAAAAAACTGATTTTATGTCAAAATATGTATGTTAGAACAATACTATATATAAATCTAGTATATGCCCGAAGTCGTAGACTCGAGACATGAAAAATGCAGGTTGAATTTCGTCAATTGGTCAAGTAGAACAGGTTATATACAACTGTGCCCCCTTTTTTTGTTGGGTGTTCATCATATTAATGATTCCGACTATGCAAAGTTATTTTGATAAAGTTATAATGTACTTGTATTAGTCCATTTGTTTTGTTTCTCATTGTCAGTGATGTGTTTTGAATTCTTTGATCTTAATTCCTACTTTTTTAAACATCAAATCATCTCTTGAAATGTATAATTTTTTCTTTTTTTCATATCCATTGTGTGTCTAATATTTAATTTTGCTTGGTTCTTTAGTTTTTTAATATATAAATAACTTTTATTTTTTCTCTTTGTTGTTAAAATGTACAGCAGTACTGTATTTTTAAGTTTGTAATTTTACTTTTTAAAATTACACAATATGAGAAGTATTGTATTCTTTCTACGTTGTTTATTTTCACATCTAAATTTATTTTCATTATTTAAATTAAATGAATGATTTTTTTTTCAACATTTGTCATTCATGAATATTCCATTTTCTGTTATAGCTTCCCAGTGAATACCATGAACATGTGCCAGTTGCTAAAGTAAGATACTGTTTGTTTCTAAATTTGATACATATATAATATATTACATAATAGAAGTTAAAATGCGAGTGAGAAAACTAGAATTTTTTTACATAAGCTTAAAACCCTTTGAATGTATTGCCATCAACAAGTTTGTAGATCTTCTTAATTACATTGTCAGGTGTAAGGGAAAAAATTGTCATTTTATTTAAAAAAATAACTCAGTATTTTTTTAGTATTATTTATTTAAAAAAATAACGCAGTGTGAATTAAACCTTACAGCCTGAACAGCTGTAAGGTTTAATTCACACTGCAGTAAAAAATTTCACTTTAAAAAGAGTATCATCTGTGCATACTAGATTCCTCATTGTGTCAGAAATGCATTTGTGGGGGGGGGGCATTTTCTATTTCTCATTCTCACTTTTTCATTTTTTTATTTAAGAGCATCTGTCTATGGTACTTTCACTTTCTGTGCTTTTATTATTATTATTTGGTTAAAAGGAATTCAGTTTGGTACTTTGATAATGCTTCATGAATGCTCATTTAAACATAAAGTTCATATAATTTCAAGCACTTGAGATTTACCTAAATAGAGTAAGTACATCAAGATGTAGAAACTATAAATGCAACTTCTTGTTGGAAGAAGGGGAAAAAGTAAAAAAGAGAGACCCTGGTTTCAGTAAAATGAGATGTTAGAATAAATATAAATATGGAATTCAAAGGACCAAATAAAAATAAAGAATACAAGATATGTGTGGGGGAAATGGCAGATGTACCAAGGAGTCTCCTTCCCATGTACTGACCACAATGGCTGTTGCTTCATTTTTCTATACATTTCACCAATATGTCTTTGCAAAATGAAATTGAAAGTATAGAAGAATGAGTTTGCAAAGTGAAAAGGCAAATAAATGAAAATTTCTTTGTTAAAAGATCTGAAATAATTTTGGAATAACTAGAGTAATAAAATCGAGCCTCGTAAGATAAAAAGTCATGTCAGAAAAACCAAAAATGGATGATTAATTTACATCTGCTGCAATCGTAACAGTAAAAATGAATTAAAAGTTGGATTGTTTGTTTGGTTTTATTTTTTGTAAATTGCAATAAATTAAAATGAAATTCATAATTTTATGCAGTGAAACATTTTGATATCCGACTAATACGTTTAAAGATATCTTAAAAATATGGGGGTGCCTACTGTTGGCTAAGCTTGTAGTTTGAGACAGAAGTGATTTTTTAAATGTGCGCAACCAGTGGATACGCAAAACAGCATAATCATTGGTTCATATAATTCTGTGATACCTGAAACTGACTGAGAAATAGTCAAAGTTAAAATTGGATTGACTTTTAGATGATACTTTGGCCATCTCAAAAATACTGCCCCTGAACTTATGTCTATTTGGCTGCCATTTTCTGTGGCATCACATGACCATGCTAACGTAAATTAGCCAAAAATAGCTCAAGGAGACAGCAGGGAACGCTAATTCCCTTTAATACATGAGGGATGTGACATAAATGATCAAAATCATGTGCAGATCAAAGTTTTAAGAGTAATCACTGAGCTGAAGTTCAGTAACCATATAATGTTGAATGATATCATTTAGCTAATTGACTTCTGGCTCTGACACTAATATTTATACCGTTATTCAAGCACTTTTTCATGAAGTTTCAAGAAAAATCAACCATAAGGCCCCCAAAATTTATTTTCCAGTATGTGACAAAATTGCAAGAAGGTTACCAAATGTCACTAAACCCAGCAGGAGAGTTTTTTCCCATATCTATACTCATTCAGTATTCAGCTATAATTACAATTCAAAAGTCAGTTCATTTAAAAGTACAAGATAAACATAATATGCCAAATTAGCATAATAAAAATTATTATGTAATATGTGCTAAATAAATAAAAAGGGTACATAATGCATAGCTGGCAATTTTTTCAATTTTATTGGGAAATTTTCAGTTTTTCATCAGATCTCCTGGTAGATCATTATTATCCTGGTTTATAATTTTTAGCCTTTGCCAAGGAGAACGTTTCATAGTAATAAATTAAATTCGTTGCATTAATGGAACTCCTAATGATTTTCAGCAGAAGTTTTATTATTAAATTTTATTTGCTGTGAATTACCTTAATCTACTGTAGACATATGTAAAAATTATTTTGAAGACAACCAATGTTTAATCAGTTAATATTAGTACTTCATTTAACTTTAGATGAATGAGTCATCGTTATTATTAAAACTTGTAACATTTAAGAAATTTTGTAAACTTTGAAATAAAGGATCATCCAATTGTGCAAGGATGGAGCGATATGATATCACTTCTCAACAAAGCTCCATTAATTTTGTATGTTTTGTGAAAGATGTGCGAGGCCTCGCATTGTCGTGATAGAACACATTTCCTTTGTTATTAATTCTACTCTTTTCTCTTTGATTGCTTTCTCTAGTTTTATAAGTTGTTAGCAGTAAACATCTTGAGTTGATTGTTTGTTTGCAGCTCAAAATATACAACACCTTTGCAACTATATCAAATTGACAGCATGATCTTTTTCTAATGCTGTTTGTTTTCAATATGATGTCTGCTAATTCCATACTTGCACTACGATCTTTTTCAATTAATGTTATTGTGGATAATTCATTCTTCATCCCCTGTGATAAAAAGAGTCAGTTGTATTACATGCACATAGCAAATACAGATTCGCTGTGTTAAGTGAATTTCTTTCATTCCTTTGAAACACAAATATCGAGCTTCTTGATAAGTCCAAGACATGCTGTCTGATTTTCAATTGTTCTGTTTGATATGTTTAACCTTTTTGCAGTCTCTCCGACAGTTATATGATGATTCAATTCAATTATGGCTTTAATTTATTCATCATCAACTTCAGAAAGATTGCCAAAACATCACTCATCTTCAAGTGAAAAATCTGTAGAAAGAAATTTTAACACCAATTCTGACATTTGTGTTTCATTAAACAGTCAGCATCATAAACGTCATCTATCTCTTTGTAAGTCTCAGCCACTCTTTTGCCTTTTATGAAAAAAAAAAAAAAATCTGATGTGTACACCACATGACTTCCTTGTACGGGATATTTAAATTACATGCATTTTTTCTTGCATTTCATTTAAACGTATTGGATTGAATTAAATCTACTTTGTTGACAGTGCATAAACCACAATAGAATAAATGCATTCTTTAAAATTCACTGTATTTGTTTACCATAGCGACACTCTGGCGCTAGATTTACTTAACAGTATTATATTTCGTTCATATTATATTGAAAAATTCCAGAAAGGATTAAGCATGATTTAATTGGCAATAATAAATGAAGGCGTTATCTTTGTTGTTGCGAAGCTAAGTTTCTCTAGATTGGCAACAAATCCACTAGTCTGCTGTTTCAAACGTAAACAATCAATGGCCGCCGTCAGAAAAAAGGCTTAGCGGCACTTAAACAACTTTAAAATTGTTGATAATTCTAAAAATATTTCACACAGATTTACTAAAGGCATAAAAACCTTAACCGGAAGATAAAAAAAAACATAATTCAATCATTTTTAAAGCAAAAAATGTACAATTTACAAACATATAAGAGTAAAGAAACTGAGATCACTGAGCCGGGTAACAGAGTGGATATAAATATATTTATATATTTTTGGTGCGGCCGATTTCAACCAAAATACGAGGTGCTTATCTGCATGTTATAGCCGTCCTATATACAAAATTTCAACGTTCTGAGGATACTCGTTTTTGAGTTATGCGAGATACGTACGTACGTACATATGTTCGTATAGACTCCTCGAAAAAATCTCTTCAGAATTCGTTTAAAAGCAGTTTTATAATTTTTTTGGAGGAAAAGAGTATTTTATTCTTTCCTTATGTACAGATATCATGCAAAAACATCGTTAAATTGCATTCGATAGCGGTCAAAATGGATATTTTCGTTGAAATATGCTGCCTGAAACTTTTCACGATTACAATACTTCCTTTTTCTTTTGTACAAGGAAGTAAAAAATTGAAATATATCGAAAAAGTTTATTTTTGCACTGCATGTTAAAAGTGACCATCAGCTAATGGTTGTAAATAAAAATTAACAGAATTTGCTTCTATAACAACCCAAACGAATCAGCTGCCAAATCTCAAAAGAAAAAAATAGATGAGATGGCCAGAAGACTGACAAAACAAACATAATACTATCTATTTATGCAAACCAAAATCACTCTAGCCATTGCAAAATAAATTATGATACAATCAATTAATGCTTTGCTAATAGGAGAGAAAGTTCATCAGCATTGGAGAGACTGATATATTTTTTTTATAAAATGAAAATAATTATTGTTTTTTCATATAAAAATTATCTGCTATTTTTAAATATTTCAGTTGTTATCTTCAAGACACATGAGTATTAAACCCGTAAGATTCTTTCGTTTTCCAATCTTCATTTTATTTTAAAAGAAATATGACTCTATGCTTTCTATTTTGAGATCCTTTGTTATGTGCCATGCATTTAATGTTTGATTTATAAAGATATAATGTATCCTTTGTATATTGTTGGGTTCTTTCTTTTCTGACACCAGTTGTTACGTTATTTTCTTTCCTGTACTTAACGTTCGTAAGTACGGGGTTCGTGTGGATTTGGAGTCAATAACGACGACAGCACTTGATGGAATATCGAAACACACTTTATTTACCAATATTAATCAGGACAGCTCTAAAACACTTTTACAGTAGTTGAAGATCTACTATAAACACGCTGGAACAATCAGCAACACAGCCTTCACACTGTCAGGCAATAACGGTCGAGACAGCTTCACTGCAAAGCGCCAGAGTGCAGCTCCCGACTCTGCTTGGTCGTTCTCAGAACTCCACGTACTCTCGAGACTCTCCATGCTACGACTCGTGATGCACTCAACGACACACAGAGCGCAGCTCCCGACTCTTTGGTTCAGTCGTTTCCGGAGCTTAACACATTCTCTCGACAATGCACTCGGCACTTGCTGCCCGGCTGTCAACTTGATCGACTCCGCACTGAT